GCTAGGCGGGTGTCCCCTTCCTCCCTCACCGCTCCATGTGCGTCCCTCCCGAAGCTGCGCGCTCGGTCGAAGAGGACGACCTTCCCCGATAGAGGAGGACCGTTCTTCGGTCAAGGGTATACGAGTAGCTGCGCTCCCCTGCTAGAACCTCCAAACAAGCTCTCAAGGTCCATTTGTAGGAGAACGTAGGGTAGTCAAGCTTCCAAGACTCCAGACACATCCAAATGAGGCGCTGCACGTGGCAGTCTGCCTTTCTTTTGAGACGACAACCCCTACCAAATATTTTAACAAATAGCAACTACAAACTTTTAATAAGGGCAACGTCTTGTAAATTCATATAATAGGTATAGCTAATATTTGAAGGCTTTTAAAATAAGCAAAGTACCCTACAAGAGAACAAAAGGCATTACATAAACATACTATTATTAAACAGAACCCATGTATTATTAAACAGAACTTAAATTCTCTCATTTCATTTTGTGTATATATACTAAATACATATATGTGTTTTCCCCCCTTTCTTTCTTGACCCCAACTATCATCTCGAGCTTTACCATTCACTTCAGAAACTCTAAGTCACAGGCTACACAGAGTACCTTCCTGGATGGGAGGAAGGAGAACATTGGGGTAGACGTGTCACTGTGGCTAAAAAAGTGATTTGGCTGGTAAATAAGTTAAAACTAAAACAACATAGTAAAGTCATCAAGGCTATATTACAGAGTAGAAGGCAGAACTCACTTGGATCTCAGTTTAAAATATATGCCTTCAAAAGGACTTCAAAACTATTTCAGCTATTTCTCGGACTATAGATGTTGATTATCGGTTTCCCCCATGAGGGGTTCTTGAAAGTACCTGCCTGGAGAGGCCTGTGGCACTGAACAACCACCGCAAATAATACAGATTTTATTTTTAATAGATTTCTCTGTCAGGAGCGTGGAGAGTAAATTGGGACAGTGCAAAGTAGAGAGAAACCTACTAAATATCTGTGTGTATTAAAGTAGTACCATTCATTTGAAGACTATGGTTAAGAAAAGGGTGCAATATTGAGGTGTAAGATAACAGACTTAACAATCAAGTCACAGTGTTGCAGGATTTTTTTTTTTTTTTTTTTTTACCTCAAAACCCAGGATTTGTTGTTTCACCACTTCAAAGAATGAAGAGGAGGACACAAAATGAGCAGCAGGCAAAAGTTTATTAGCGTATACAATCAGAAAGCAAGAAAGTAGGAAAGCTCTCTTTACAGAGAGGGGACATTAGAAAATGAATGCCCACCAACTATAGGCAAGGATCCTTATTTTATAAGGTTCTGGTAGTGCCCTCCCTGCCCCCATCTCTTCCCCCTGTTCCTTCTCAGGTTCTACCCTTATTGGCTGGATATCTCTAGGTGCTGGGTTGTCCATTCCCGATTGGGTTGTTTTCATTGTAGACTTAGGTCTTTTGTCAAATTCCGAGGGGAAACCTGAGGGGAAGTAGGTGGGGTCTGTTACATTCTTAAGAGGAACCTTAAGCCTGAGGGGGTTTGCTGTGGTCTGACACTCACAGCATTGTTCCAAAATATGTCTTTCCCCACCCAGGGATCTCAGGCCCTAATCCTTTCCCTCTCTGCCTATTTTATCCTATTTTTTCCTATCATAACAAGGAGTAGGGGAAGGAAGAGAAAAAGTCTAGAATGATGCATCCCCCCACCCTCCGCCCAAGCACACACATTTCCTTTTCCATCCTCCTCTATTTTTCATAACATTTATTGTCATCTAACATACCATGTATTTTGTTTACATATTTTATTAACTACTTGTAGACTTAATAGAGTGCAAATTATATGAGGTTAGGGATTTTCATAGTTTTAAAAAATACATTTTTGGATTTCCTGCTTCTAAAATAATGCTTAGCCCAGAGTAAGTGTTTAGAGAATATGTATTGGAAAAATGATTGAATGAATGAATGAACAATGCTTTGGTTTCTGCTCCATAAAGAGTGGAGGAGGACAAGGCTCGGGGAAAATAATGAGGTGATTTGTCTTTCATTTCTCTAAGCCATTCAACTGAAAATGTCCATTAGACACTTGAATCAGCCAGCAAAGACTCAGACAAGAGGACTGAGATGGGTCCAGCTGGCAGCAAAAGGATGAGCTTATCCAGAAAAAGTATATAAAGAAGATAAGCAAGTCAAGAACAGCTGAGCACCAGAAGAGTCAGAATAGTCACTCACAAATAAGACTAATAGTGTATGTTCAATTTCACCTTTCTAATTCTGACCTAACACAGACATGACTCAGTTTAACATAGGTAGGAAGTCATATTTTCCAACCCTGCTGAAAATAATCATTCTTTATTCATTTTTTTAACGCATCTTTCTGTAAGAATTCACTTTAACTGAACTAGACAGGACAAGTATTATTCAACTTTGTTGATAAACCAAACATTTACCTCCATTTCCTTATTTCTAATGAGTTGAAACATACTAAAGTGCTGATAGTTTAATGGGTTTTTTTTTTTCTAACCTACAAAATGACAACTTCAAAAGTCCAACCTAATACAATAGGGATAACAGTATCCTAACAGTCTTATTTGCCTGAATGAGAAACTAAAGCAGTATCATAAGACTATGATGACACAGGCTGGTGGAGAAATAAAGAGTCCTGTTATAGTAATTCTGCCACTCTACGACAGGTGACTTTAAGTCATTTTATTACTTGGAAGCCTCCGAAATTGTTCTATTCTTAGAGACCCTTGGAGTCGCTCTCATTCTGGGATAGTCTTAAACATAGTAGATAGTGTGGTGGTAGATAGTAGAATCTACCTACCTGATTTGTTTTCAGTGCCCAGGGAAATCCTCAGCCCTCAACCCTTTGCCCACCCACTCAGTTGTAGGTTAAAAAAAGTGCCTCAACAAAAATCCCTGAGCTTTAAAATAATAGAGCTTTAAATTTCAGTTTAAGAGAAGGTTTATATGTAAAACACTCCAGGAGGAGGGAAACAATTGGCTTACATTCAGCCTTAGCTGTAAATGACTAATACCAAGACCCTGTCCTGACAGCAAGGTAGTTTGTCAATTTTGTTCATCTTTTCAAACAACCAACTCCTAGTTTGGTTAATATTTTCTATTGTTTTTTATTTTATTTCATTTATTTCTGCCCTACTCTTTATTATCTCCTTTCTTCTGCTAACTTTGGGCTCAGTTTGCTTTTGCTCTTCTTTTTCTAGTTCCTGATGGCATAAAGTTAAGTTGTTAGGGATTTTCTTGCATCTTAATATGGGCATTAATTGCTGTGAACTCCCCTCTTAGAACCGTTAATACTGCATCCCACAGGTTCTAGTATGCTGGTTTTCATTTGCATTTGTCTCAAGAATCTTTTTTATCTCTCCTTTAATTTGTCCTTTGATCCATTAGTTGTTCAGGAGAGTG